TTCTCGAATGGGCTACACGTTCTTTTAAAAACGACGGTCCAGTTTTAATTGTATTTTCGTTGCCAAAGTAATTAGATACGTGACAAATACGTTTGTGCGGACAACGAGGATAGTTCGTGTTCAGGAAACATTCACGCAGATTTGCGAAATGTCTGTAAAACGTCTTTGGCAGTAGCTTCATAGGAAAAAGCTTCCAGTATCTTTAACTGTTTCAAAAGATGCAAAGTGCTTTCTTAGAAAGTTCGATTCAGCAGTCTACTCACTAGGGTATTAAATACTTCTCTCGTCAATTTCTGGGTTCTTTTAATATATAAACCCCCGCAGTTTTTCAAAACGTGCGGTGCACAAAACAAAGCTCATTTCCATTTTAATCCTTTAAAGAAAAAAAAATATCTACCACTATTTAAGACGAGTTTATGAAAGTAAAATCAGGTGGTAGGTCTACATAATTACCACTGACATAAAGGATTAAATAGCAGAATGTGACAGACTGGAATTTATATTTTATTTAGTGTTCTGTCTGACGACAGGTCCATATGAACAGGATCCTTCCAACCTTTTCTCGGACTGGGACCTGTTCATATACGTTCTTGGCAGATGATCCAGAAGAGGTTTGCCATTGCCTTCTTCTGTGTGTGAATGGAGTAATTGTTGGGATGCCACGGAGGAAAACTCCGTGTTGCCTAGACCACGGCCTTGCCCAACACAAGTTATAAATTCGGGCACCGCCGGGAATCGAACCCGAGACCCCCAGGATTACAAGGCCAGCGTTCTAACCGCTAGACCACCGTGGCTATGATTGTGTGTACCGCACTTAATCGTGGAGACGGTTCACTGAGCGTTACCTAATTCCTGTTCGAATGAAAAATCTCTCTCGTTCGTCCAAGGTACAAGGAAAGGTTTATTAAGTTCGGCGCCAGGAGAAAAGGTGTTGAATGTTCACATCGAGGATTTCCCCTACCGAGTTCTGCCTCATGTTTCGTCGCCTCGACCAGCACATCTCAACCCACGTGACTTCTTCGCGGGGCTGAGGCGTGGGGGCTGTTCTTAGGCAAGATTGGCATGCACGTCACAACTCAGGGGCCGACGGTGCGGGTACCAAAACGTCTTCTCATCTGACCTTCACCTGTCCGCGACACCAAACACAACGCTGATTGCGTATTTCAGGAAATAAATACGACAGGCCACTCCCCCAGTCAGATCGTCGTCCTAACCAAAAACTGTATACAGACTACCTCACGTCAACCCTGAATATGGAGGCAGTTTGGTCCTCTGAAACGATGGCATACTGCCAAAATACACGGCGGGACAGCCCAGGGACGCTAATGTTTCAGAGGGGAATACCGCCCTGAAGATGGAAGCTTGCACTCTTACGGAAATAGATGCTCATATAGTTAAAAAAATGTCCCTGCTTTAATGCAAGCCGAAGGTTTGTTACGGATCTATAGAAGTCCGCCATCATGTCCTGATGGATTAGAATCCAGTGTCCAATTCCACAGCCTACGATCCATTTTAAACTGTTCTCCACTCCACACCTCCCAACTACTTTCTTCCACTGAGGATTTCAGACTAATATTTCGCGCGTATTTAACATTTCCTCGTGCGTTCATGACACTACGAAACAATTCTTTCGCTAACCTAACCTCTGAGCCACTCTCCGTACGACAAATAACATTTTGGCCGAAATCAACACAGTTTCTGTACCAAGGGTCAGAGGTTAGCCACTCTGCCAACGAGACAGACACAACATAAATCGATACTTCGATGTGCAAATATGTCCGTACGTACCTCGAAAGCAGCGCGGCGTGTAGCATCCAGCAGGCGACGCGACACGACAAACCTACTTCGGTTTGAGGTTGAATCGGACTGTTCGGGGGTACATTTGAAATAACGCGGCACAACCACCCCTAGCAGCTGAAGGGGAGAGGGGGTGGGGAAGTGGAAGGGGAAGGAACACAGCGCTGATGCAGAGAGAGTGGGTCACATGAATGAGAAGAGTTCCTCTGCAAACGTCAGAAGACAAGATTCCCCCGACACAGAATGCTTCATGTTTTCCTCAGTCCCTCCAGACAAGTGCCAGGATAACATAAATTAGGTCACGACCGCCTCCTTCCACGTCCTTTACAATTCATTAGACCTTTCGGCCATAAAGACACTCGAAGCATCTCACTGATAACGAAGAAAACATTAATTATCGGCGAGATTTTCCACTCGGATATTACGAATGCAATCACTGAAATGTGAAGAACTGAACGGAACATGAACGCGCCATCTGCGGACACGAGGGAAATACGTTCTAAAGGCGACGAGCACAAGAGACCGCGAGTACGTAAACTGAGGTACGGGGATCTCCGAGGACTGGACCGGAATGGGGCACCCTGGAAACCCGGAAGACACGTGTCAGAGTACGTCATCCCAAAAAACAAAGCGAGGGGGTGGTTTTATGACGTCACTGAAAATTTCTACACGTGTAAGGGTGCGATGCCCTGGATACGACACTGCCATTGGTGAGGGGGAACCAAGAGAGGGTGAAGATGCTGACGTCATAAGACCGTAAGGGATGAATGAAATTTGTGGCTACACGTGTACGAGAGCGTTGACATCGATTTTCGAGGTCGGCAATTGGTTCGGATTTTAGGGGCAATTGACACGAAGCCAGAAACACGACAAAGGGTGAATGGGACACAGTTGATATTCCTCAATGGCACGTGCAGAGGCCAAGGGATGACCCAGATCGAGCCTTGAATGGAGGGTGTACACGTGTGACCAGGGCAATGACCTCAACAGAGAAATAGGTCACAGGGGGTGGCACGTGTACAGATGACGTCACGGGATACACGTGGCTGACCTGGACTGCACGGCTTCTAATATGAATGACACAAGAAGCTGTTCGCCATGGACACACTTTCAGCCAAGGAAGGCCCCAAAGCGTGGCCTGTGTACAATCCGCATGAGGGAATACAGAACGCGTTCTTTCCACAAAGATTCAACCAATTCGATGATAATCAGACCAGTGTCTGGGTTTTACTCGCCTAACGGGGAGAGTTTCCACATCACGACGAAGTACGAATTCGCCTGGTGCCCGGCGTTTCGTCTTCAAAGAAAATTCAACGCTCCTCAATTGTTTTATTCTTTTAATCCCGCGAGAGGGCAATGCGAGCGAGCGATTTGTGCGAGTAATCACGTAAAAAGCGACAGAGGAACCACATTTATATCGCCCTTCGCCCCTACGTTCACCATCTCAAATATATTTCCTATTCGGCACATCGAAACTTGAACCAAAATGAAGAACGAGGTCTTAATCAGCTAATCCGGATTCTGAACCCTGAGCCGTTCTGGCCACAGTCGCCAAATTACATTCATGCCTCACGCAAACGATGATTAAAATGGGAATTACCGACAAGAATCAAAAACTTTCAGTGTCGACCGAATTTAGTCGAAATCCATCCATTCATTTCGGAGATGAATCACGCAGACGGACAGATATACCTCTCCAGTGCGTGTTAACAGTACAAACTACGCCCCTTTCTAGTGCTACTGACCCGAATTACTTTAATAAACGATATCAAAAAGGGAGATGATGAAAGTTTAAGATTTTATGGTGAGTTGTCGGCGTCAAACCCCTGGGAATGGACCCAGAGCTGGTCTGGATGCAGCCCCGTGGGGAATCTAACCCCGGTCGTCCAGTCAATATACAGACTGAGCTAACCGGCGCATGTATTAAGTCATATTAACCAGCTGATTTTCGTAATGGTGAGGTGTAGTGTTTTCTTCGCGGTTGTTTAAGGCTTTGACCGGGATGTTCTTTTGTTAAATCTTATGTGGTACCGCCTGATTTGACTTCTAATGGTTAAGTGAAGTGTTTTCTTCGCGGTACGGTCTGGATTCGTAAATATTATGAAGACGAGCTTCGGCTTCAAAGGGTTAACCAGCTGATTTTCGTAATGGTGAGGTGTAGTGTTTTCTTCGCGGTACGGACTGAATTCATAAATAATATTCAGACGATCTTCGACTTCAAAGGGTTAATAATAACCGACGGTGTTATAGTACCCGAAGACGCAGTTCAAATCACGCCTCAGGCCACGCGAATTCGGAGGTCAACGCATGGAGAAATCCGATCTCTAAGGCAAAAGTTTACGGATCTAGGTCACTGGGTCTCTCCTCCCCCACACGCTACATGCATGACAGGCCGACTGACGTCACCACTTGACCTTTTTAAGGGATGGTACCGCCCTCTTTGATCTTCAGAGGGGCAGTCTCCCTCCAGCGCCCCTCATGACGTCATCCACTTCATACCATCTGTGAGGTGTTACAATCGATTGACTGCTTTCTCGATCAAATATCCTGTAATTCCGGGCATGTGGGCTGTGCACTGGCCTACATCCCTACAAAGGACCTTTGACAGAGCCAGTGACTCCTGCTATGGAGTTGGCCTGTCGCAGAATTCGACGAGTTCATAAAATCTATCCACAACTTTTCCTTAACGAAAATACAATATATAAATTACTAGCGCGAAATGTTTCGTAAGTGTGCTGATTGACTTCAAAGGCAGGGACCCGCAAGAAATATTCGAGCAGAAACTTCAAAAAGACACTGTCCCTGATAATACCTTAACAGCATTACCAAGGCGACTGTTATAACAATACACATTCATAAATATTGACCCTTAAGGCTTTGACCGGGATGTTCTTTTGTTAAATCTTATGTGGTACCGCCTGATTCGACTTCTAATGGTTAAGTGAAGTGTTTTCTTCGCGGTACGGTCTGGATTCGTAAATATTATGAAGACGAGCTTCGGTTTCAAAGGGTTAACCAGCTGATTTTCGTAATGGTGAGGTGAAGTGTTTTCTTCGCGGTACGGTCTGGATTCGTAAATAATATTCAGACGAGCTTCAGTTTCAAAGGGTTAATATTCAAGTAGGATTTTCCCGCTCATTCACGGGACCCGGGGGCTGTTCCAACCAGGACACGTCGGCGCGAACACAGTTTAATTTTCTTACCTTACTGATAAGAAAGTCATTCTCATCGAAGTGTCTCTTATACAGTTTGGGCGTTTCTCCGGGGATGGCTTCGATTTTAATGGACACCTCCTGCCCTTTTCTCGCGGACTCCACGGCTTTGTGGTTAATCTCGATACTCGTCACAACCCCGAGGTCCACGAACTGGAAGGAAAGAGAACATTTTATGATTACATATGCATCTGTACCAGCCGGTACAAAATTGCATATTTCAAGGTCACAGAACCGCGCGTATCCTCAGCCTTGCTACGCTGCGAGTTCTGTTCACTCGACTCGGATCTGCTGTTACGTCTTTGACCACGATGTACGTTCTTGGCAGATGATCCAGAAGTGGTTTGCCCTTGCCTTCTTCTGTGTGTGAATGGAGTAATTGTTGGGATGCCACGGAGGAAAACTCCGTGTTGCCTAGACCACGGCCTTGCCCAACACAAGTTATAAATTCGAACCCGAGACCCCAGGATTACAAGGCCAGCGTTCTAACCGCTAGCCCACCTCATCTTATTATTATTTAGTGTTCTGTCTGAGGACAGGTCCATATGAACAGGATCCTTCCATCTTTTTCTCGGACTGGGACCTGTTCATATACTTTCTTGGCAGATGATCCAGAAGTGGTTTGGCATTGCCTTCTTCTGTGTGTGAATGGAGTAATTGTTGGGATGGCACGGAGGAAAACTCCGTGTTGCCTAGCCCACGGCCTTGCCCAACACAAGTTATAAATTCGAACCCGAGACCCCAGGTTTACAAGGCCAGCGTTCTAACCGCTAGATCACCTCATCTTATTATTATTTAGTGTTCTGTCTGCCGACAGGTCCATATGAACAGGATCCTTCCATCCTTTTCTCGGACTGGGACCTGTTCATATACGTTCTTGGCAGATGATCCAGAAGTGGTTTGCCATTGCCTTCTTCTGTGTGTGTGATGTAATCTTGCGTTTTCTTGGGTAAATTTGACGGTTGGTTGTACCTTTTACACAGCAGAAAGTACAAAATCACGGCAAATATTGGTTTATATCTACGGACGTACGATGTGCCTTCGATCAACTTTGTGGTGTAAATTGAGGTCAAAGAACTACGTACTCGTAGAACGAAGTGGCTGGCACAGTGTTATTAAAACTAAATCGTGTAATACATAAAGTAAACACGACGAAATGTCATGATACAATTCGGATCGAAATGATGCACAGTTTTAAACTCGACTTGATATACGCAATTCTTCCCAAGTAACAATATGGGTAGTTCGTCGTAGATGTCTGAACAAAACATTCAGTGAAGTACTCAAAGGTAAATATTTGCTCCGCGCATTCCCACTTTATACTGGTTAAAACAAGGGGATCCTTATTCAAATCGTTTAAATTTTTAACTCGGCTACGCCTTCACTCAAGTCGGCTTTTCGAAAAGTTAGAAGGCACTGGAAATTTACGGCCAGATTCTGTCGGTGTAACGTAAGTTTTTCGCTGGGCTCGACTCAAATTCGGCAAAGGCGATGACTTAGACGTCAAAACAGGCGAAAACCTCGTAAATAAATCCAAATACTGATAAGAACGTTACTTAATTTTTGGAAGAAAAACGTCTGATACTTTGACAAATATTTCGTAATCCTCGTTCATTTAATGACGCTATATCACCTCCTAAGATTATCGTTCAATGACCAGATGAACGGAGAATACTGAATTGGAAAGGATAAGGCAGGAAACTGGAACTGGGAGCTCGTTAATTTGGTTGTTGCGCTGTGTAGTCTGCTAGAAGTTCGCCCTTGCTGCCTCCATCTTCAGGGCAGGCAGCAAGGACCTCTGAAACGTTGGTGGACATCTACCAGAATTGTCTGATTGTTTAATTTGAATATTAAATTTTATACAATGTCTTCTTCTGAAAACCCCACGGCGAGTTTGAAAGAAGCTCGCGGCCCACCGGTTAACTAACCACTGGTGTACAATTCATTACCTGCATCTATAAACATGTTACATATTTCGTCCAAGTTACGAACATTCGCTAGTGTCGTCCGCACCACAGAAATTTGCGCGTGTGAAATCTTATTACCGACTGTACGAAAATAAAATTTGTTATGATATCGACACGTTCCTACCAAATTTCGTGAAAATCCGCCATGTTCACGAAGCGAAAATGGGCTAGAAAAAAAAACGGTAATGCTCACCCCTGTCACAGAACAGAACCGAGAACTAGGGACCGAGTGGGTCTGAGCGTGGATACGCGCATGCGCGTATGTACTACGATCATTGTTTCGGCGAAGATCAGAGACGGTGGACGAAATGAATCGAGCTCCTTGTTTGACTGAGATGTTGACACAGGTGCGCGCTACACTCGTTATGTACGAATTATACTTGCCAAGAAACAACGTACTTTAACTGTTTATTTGCTTTGTGGGCGCTGTCCTCAGCGGCGGCTTACCAAACCAACGGCGTGTGTGTACACGGGAGAGATCCGGAGACTATTTCAGAAAATACCAGACACACGTGCAAAAGCATCACGACTGTCACTTGTTTAATGGACTAAATAAAACTCTACTCGACTGCACTGATTATTCGGGGACCAGCGTTTCACCAACCCCTACCCACGAAAACATTCTCAGACCATAAAGAGTTGATGGCGGGGACCGCAAATCAGTTATCGCTAAATTATTATCAAGAAACTGTTTATATACATCACAGAACATGAATGAAAGAAAGAATGAATGAAGAATAAATTCGCTCCATTGAATTTTATCCTGGATTTTTATGTTTACTTCTGAAGATCGTAACCAAATATCTCTAAAATTCATTCGGGTATCCATGAGATTTTGCAACCGGTGTTTTCTTCTGGGTACGGTCTGGATTCGTAAATATTATGTAGACGAGCTTCGGCTTCAAAGGGTTAACCAGCTGATTTTCGTAATGGTGAGGTGTAGTGTTTTCTTCGCGGTACGGACTGAATTCATAAATAATATTCAGACGATCTTCGGCTTCAAAGGGTTAACCAGCTGATTTTCGTAATGGTGAGGTGTAGTGTTTTCTTCGCGGTACGGACTGAATTCATAAATAATATTCAGACGATCTTCGGCTTCAAAGGGTTAATGAGGCTGTCTTGGGCAAAAACTATAGTCATGCAGAAATTTATAGTAAGTTTCACAAAACAACACATCCCATACGACGTGAAAACACAGGACAATGTATTGAACGTAATACCTATTCATTCCTAAGACGGAGAAACAAATAAAAAAAAACATTAAAAGCGAAAATCAAAATCGAAATGACAACGTACCGCGTGCAGCTGTGGGCACAGTTAAGTCATAAGCAAGGTTTGGAGGCATGTACTGTGCGCGGTAGATGTGGCAACGCGGGCTACGTGACGTCAGCAGAGCAGCGTAAAGATGGCTGCCCCCTTCAAGCAAGCACAATGAAGAAACAGTGTTCTGCCACCCGTTTCGCGTGATTAAAGGGAGTGCGTGAGTGACTACACACGGGGCCAATTCTTTTTCTTTTTTTCCAGAATCCACTTTACACCTCGCCTTACCATATATGCCTAGGTCTTCGAAGTGCATGCTCCTTTCAAGGTTTATATTTTAATCGCCCTAATGACGTCTAACGAAGAGCGCTTATTATGAACCACTACCCCAATCTCACGTCGAAACCCCTCTGAAAGTTTCAAGCTTTCTCAACCAGCACTCAGTTTTCGGTCGCCATCAGTGTTCTTACTTCGTGTGAGAGACAAACTTTTATACCCACAGGTAAAGGTAGAATTTCTGCGTAAAGTAATCTTTGCTTCTTTGCCTATTTAAATACTACACGAAAAGATAAAATATCCTACAGAACACTGCTGCATACCTGAAGCAATTACTTCGCGCTTAATTGAATAAAAATTTTCTTGGATATTATCCATCGTCTAGTAAATATAAAACGTAAACCTTCGCGCTTATTAGCCGTCTTTTCATTAACCAGCTGATTTTCGTAATGGTGAGGTGTAGTGTTTTCTTCGCGGTACGGACTTTATTCATAAATAATATTCAGACGATCTCCGGCTTCAAAGGGTCTATCTTTACTCATTTCTGGACCATGAACATAACAAACGTCTAACGAAACTTCTGTTTTCTCTTTGCAGCGTAAAACTTCAACGGTTTATCTGATATTACTCAGATAATGTGACTCCATAGTAACGGAAACTGTGGACAGAAGAGATGACGAAATTGTGTAATTACTCAAAGTTCTGTTAGCCTGTTCATAAACATGGCTACGGACCATTACGACGAATTCCCAGAACTTGTTCAGCAAATCAGTTCCCTCTCAATGCCGCACTAGACCGCGATTGAAGCCCTCCAGAAACAATCATGCCATGCAGCGACGAGATCGCGTTATCTTCAGCTGGCCGTAAATACATTGATAGGCGTACGATAACGGAGGTGACCCGTAACTTGCAAAGCGGAATGAGAATCTCTCGTTACGAAACTGACATCAACCGCGCTCCGAATTCCGTTGTATCGATTGTTCCGATTATCGATCCAACTCTATCATTACCTAACACCGGAGATCTAAGTTTCATCACCATCTCTCTGGACACGATCCACCCCCCATCCACTTCTTGATGTCATCCTTCCACTATATTCTGGGTCTTCCGAAACATCCCAAAAAGATTTCTCAACCAGAATTCTGCACGCATTCCTTGTCTCGGTAAAGGTTTGGAGGTTACGCTATGAAACCATCTTGAACGATTGCTTTCATGTACGTTCCAAGGGGGGGAAAAAGGAGATTAGATTAGACACGGTCGTTCGTTAGTAAAAGCTACCAAAGTCAGTAAAACAGACATACATGAAATGTTTTAAGAACCACTTTTTAAAAATAGAAATTAACTTCTGCGTACAATTTTTAGTTCCCATACAGACGTTGATAAATTTTTATAATATCGTATGATACTTGCATAATACGCTAAGAGTATTACAGTGTCATTTACGTAACAACATCCATATTAAAGGACCCAATTTAACTTTGAAGTATAATTTGTAGATAATATGACAAATGCCAATAAAATTTCTATGTACACGCCTACATACAGAATGCCGCCCCCCCCCCCAAAAAAAAAAGATATCCCACGGGAACGAACAGTATTTTGTTTGAATGTACTGTTTTAAATTTGTGAACACTGTTAATATTTGGACGT